CTTTGTTAACAGTAAACAAATCCATGTTTAACCCTCCTCTTGAGGGTCAAAACTTTATCCGACACTTGCTCTTCGCATGTCAGCAGAAAGTACATTTCATGGTCCTTTCAATAAAGCCATAAAAATGCTAGGTCATCGCTGAAACAAAAAAGTTTTTCAATCGCTCAGTCCGACCATGTCCTCAGAAAATGTCTAAAATCTGCCCTGTGCCCCATTGACCTTTGACCTGTGACCTCCAATTTCGGCACAGTGATGGCTTTTCATACCGTGATGCTATACACCGACTATCACAAGCCTAGGTCGAGCCATTTAGATTTGTGCCGCAATTCTGCATTTCCTCCCTATACTTTAAGTTAAGGAGGAAATGTTCCCCCTTCTTTTACACCTCTTGACCTTTAAGCTTTGACCCCCAGCTTCGACATCCCAACTCGTTTTCGGATTACCCCACCACATCCCGAATATCGTGACCGTATGTCGAGCGGTTAAGATTTGTGCCCAACTGTTGACGCACGGACGGACGGACGAATGCACGCTCATGCGATTCTACAAGCTGCATCTGACTATGTCAGATGAGCTAAAAATGAAAAAAATGCTTAAAAATCAAGTTGTGTGATAGAATTGAAAATTGTTGCAAATAAAGCGGCATAAAATACGGCACTTAATAACAATCCCTGACGCGCTTTTTTACAGCAATATGTTACCATTAAAACCAGCGTAAAATTAAATTATTCCGACTTATCGAGTAATCACAGAGAAATATCCATTTATACATCGGCTTCTATGTCAGAAATCGAAACAGAGAAATCAGCGTTTTTTCTATTTTTCACAATGATCGACCTCCTGTGTGCAAAATGGGTGAACGTATGTGAAACATACTGTTAGTACTTACTGTGACATATCCATGACTAACTGACACCACTATATTGGTAAAACGTTCCATGCACCTTGAGAAATTGTGAGAAATTACGAGGTTACAATCGCAATTTCATGCAAAATGCGCGAACACCGCCCATTGCCTGACTTCACTAAGCTATATGTCAACAAACACGCGCCTAATGCAAGGTATGTAACGAGGTGAAAGAACTATTTTGGGCAGCGTGGGATAGTTCACCTATCACTGGCAGGTGACAGCTATAGAAGAATTGACGTTGATGGATACTGGCTCATTGAATATCGTGAAAATGCTGGTTGTATCATGTCTCTGACGTCATCAGTGACGTCAGCCACGGCTTACTACACGTCTGCGGGCAATCAAAACGCTCTGAATGTTCACATGTATATGGAGAAATGAGCATGTACAGAGGTGGTACATAGTGTTAGCCATCGAATAAAGTTGAAAATATAAAATTGGCAAAATTTTGCCTAAAACATTGAACCTTAAGGATACACTTGAACTTTTATGCGAAATTTTTCATTTTCATTCTTATTCAATGATTAACACTATGTGCCACCTCTGTACATGCTTATTTCTCCAAATAACAATGCATGCGAAGCATTTCAGAGCATTTTGATTACATGCGTACATGTGTAGTGAGCCGTGGCCCTTTAAACGCTGATGACGTCAGACATGATACAACCAGCCGTTTCACGGTAGTCATTATGCCAGAATCAATCAGCATCAACGCTTCTAGTTGTCATCTGTCAGTGGTAGTTGAAATTGCCGCACGGTCGAAAATAGCATTTACTGTTTGTTACATAACCTTACATATAGGCCCCGGTTTGCTGACACGTAGCTTAGTGACGTCATGCAGTATGCATTGCTTGTGTGTTTCGCACGAAAATGCGATGGTAAGCTCGTAATTAACCTTTCACAATTTCTCAAGACGCACAGATCATTTTACCACTTTAGTGGTTTCAATAAGTCATGGATATGTTGCAGTAAGTAATAACAGTAGATTTTCACATTTACCCATTTTGCACACAGGCGGTTGATCATTGTGAAAAGTAGAAAAAATGCTGATTTCTCCATTTCGATTTCTGCCACAGTAGCCGACGTATAAATGGATATTTCTGTGTCATTACAACTATTCAACAATAATTAAATTTTACACTCGTTTTAATGGTAACACATTGCTGTAAAAAAGCATGTCCGGGTTTGATATTAAATGCAGTTTTTTATGAGTTATGGTTCTTTATTTGCATCACTTTTCAATCCAAACATACGAATTATGTTTGAGGCAGTATTTCCATTATTTCGATAAATATGAAACTTAAGAAAAATTCTGATATGGGATTTTGGTGCATATTGTGTTTAACTTGTGGGAAAAATTTTGCTGCCATGCTCTGTGGTAGTTGAGAAATATCCAAAATGTCATTTTTACATAAAAATGCAAAATTTATGTTATCACATAATTAAGTGCTGGATATTTCATGAAATTTTTTGGCTTGAGCATAGAGATACATCATCATCATCATCATCATCATCTTCGTTTATAGTCCATCTTTTCCCGTGCCTGGGGTTGGACTTGCGATGATCCTCCTCCACCGTTCTCTGTCTTGCGTTGATCCTTCATCTATATTCAAGTCCTTCAGATCTTTCTGCACTGTCCCTATCCATGTTCTCTTTGGTCTTCCAACCGGTCTTTTTCCAG